ACAAAACAAAAATAAGACCGTTATGGCATACTTGGCTTGGCGCTGCATGACCGGACTCCACAAAAAGATTACGTTATCTTTTATGGTGACCGGGCACACACGGTGCCTTGTAGATGGGATGTTTGGACTCTTCAAGAGGATATATAGACGAGCAGACACATACACGATGGGCCATCTAGCTGCAGTAGTCAATGAAAGCACTGAATGCAATGCTGCCCAGTTAGTCCCTGGCTCTGGGCTGCTGTGGTACGACTGGGATAAATTTCTCCCGCTGTACTTCCGCCCCATCCCAAGGATCACCCAGTTCCACCACTTTGTGTTCGAGGCAGTCAACCCAGGGGTGGTACTTGTGAAGAGCCGTGTTGAAGACAACTTTCAGCAAGTGTCTATCTTGAAAACAGGAGTGACGGTGCCCACAGTTATGGCAGCCGGTCTGCCTGACATCCTGCCGGCAGGGGACTGTCACGTGAACGACAGACCTACCTGTACCGAGAAATCCGGCCTTTCGTTCCTGGCGAGTTTGCGGACGAATTATGCCCTGCAGTGCCTGATGCTTGAGGCCATCATAGATGTTTTGCTGTAGGTGTGTAGGATAGCAGGCTAGTTAGCCTTGGCACCACCAATGTCTGGATTTTTTCCATGTATATCCAGCACGGCAGTAAAGTGTGCGGCTCAGATACGTACTTTTCAAACTATTTTCTTCCAAAAATCTCAGATTATTGTGCTGTATTGCTTAGCTAGTACTCTCCAGCAATGGCTGCCATGACTGTAGCTAATTTCTGGCTTGACTAGGTCATCAGAACACGAGATGAAACAGTTTATTGCTTCACTAATGCTCTATAGCCATTCAGGTAGTTTTCTATCTTTGAATTGCGATATTTTCAATGATTTGCCTTGTACTAAAACGGGCGTACCTGTGTGTTCAGTGGGAATTTTTTGGTCTGGTTTTTTTTTACTTGAATCTAAATTAAACTGTGAATACAAAAATTTTACAACCTGAATTTCGACCTCCGAGTCCCTCAGGGCCCTTTTCGCGTGCTCTAGTATGACGGGTAATGTATGAAGAGAACGATAACGTTTGATATTAGTAATGTTTGATATGAAGTGTATTCTGGACTGCATGCATTGATTGCGTGGATGCATGCGAACTTGACTTTGTTCTGGAATATTGTGAAAAAAGGGATTAGACGAAAACCAATCCTAAGACAAACTATTCAGCTAAGGGCTACTGGTTGTTAGGCCCCGGCGGATAATGTTAGCATTATATCTAGCATAATTAGCTCTTTCGGGAAACTAGCACTGTGCTAGCATAATTCGGCAAGCTTAGCAGAAAACTAGCATATTCTTGCTAAAACTAGCATATTGTTGAAAAATATGAGATTTTCATGAAAATTCCCGATGCCCTCGCGACTACTACCGCGCCTTTGCTTGTTGAGTAATAATAATTCTGTGCTTCTTGTATTAAGTCTGTTTCGCAGAACATGGCGTATGCTGCAACATACATGCATGATGTTCTCGCTCCACATATACTGGCACACACAGAGACATAGACAGCAATAGGGACACTACACAAAGTGAAGGGTAGTTGGCTGCAGCCAGATGTGAACCGGATAACGAGTGAGGTATGGAAGTAAGGACTGAGAACAGAGTGTCTCAGATAGAATAGGCGTGACAGTGGATAGCAGAAATAGGCCATGATGCAGAACCACTTGGGACCGTCAGATTAATTTTTCTGGAACAAGCCAGCCGGGGAAAATCCATCGCGCCGACGGACGCAGTTGTGAGGGAAAAAACCGGGTTTACATCCCCAATGGCGATTAGACATCATGTAGGCATGGCAAGCACATCACGGCAAAAATTGATAAAAAAAAGCAATGATAATATGCACAGAACTGAAGGGTGGGAGGGCAGGGACACTGGTGAGACTCAAAACTGACTGAAGAAGTCAGGAAAAGAAGCGACAATAAAGAACGCACCAGATGCCATATTTGCAACTGAAGATTTCGCGAGAAATAATTTCTCGCTGCGCTCGGCCGGCGAGAAATACAACTTATCAATTACACAGAGTCTGTTTGTTTCACGGACAGCAGAACTAGCAGTTGCGGTTTCCTAACTACAAGTTTCACGAACTGTCTTAATCGATCATCAGACGAAAATTGGTACTGACCCTGCCTTAAGAGTACTGCTATAAATAATAAATAAAAAAAGTTCACGGTTTGCTTGAGACTCGGCTGGAAGGCCAGTTTTCCGCATCCGTAGGAACGCCACCACCCTCTAGGATCAACTGCTACTGCTATAACATTTATTTATTTATTATACATGTACCATGAATGTGGCAAGCCCAGCATAACAATTATTACCATAATAATAGTAATAATAATAATACCACAGCACGCGTAATAATATGTGGGTATACTTATACGTTCCGCTTCTGTCCTATCTCCTATGATCAAATTCCATTATCAAGATAAATATTAATACTTTGCACTGATGACCTATGACGCCAGATCATGGATTGTCGGCCAAATTTCTCCATGTAGGCTTGTCCAGAGCGATGGCCCTCACATTCCCCAGCTGATTGCTGCGCTTCAAGTCGATGTTCCTTCTCTGTAAGTCGCGTGTGATGCGCGTCGCAATGGATGTCCTTGGATGTCCACGCCCAGCCTTGGCATCTCAGCCATCTCACGCCCAGCCTTGACTCCATTATGATCAGGGAGTCGTAAAATACATATGTATTTTACGACTCCCTGATTATGATATGTAGCGATATAGAGTGTGTGAGAAAGTGTTAGTTATCTGTGTATTGTTAAGTAATGGTCTCGTGAAATCAGGTGGCAAAGCTTGACAAAAGGTGTCATTTGGCCTAGCGTTAGGCTCCGGCGGATTATGCTCACGAAATCATGGAATTGTGCTTTCATGGGTTCTCGCATTATGCTCGCCAATTCCTCATACAGTGTATTATGCTTTGGCACGCAAGGATACATAATCACTTAATTTGGTGTTTGTTTGTGTCACGCCTGGCGCTATCCCGTATCTGTCCCGTACCTAACGTACCATCAAAGACAGCTGGCCACAACATTCAAATAGGGCTTTCAAACGCAAGATAAATCATAACGTATAGCAACTTGGAAGAATGAGTATGAATGCGAAGTGTATCGGGGAATTCATGTAGGGCGATAGTGCGGGTTCGAATCCCAGGTGATCCCTTGAAAAAAAAGTAGGAGAATTGATAAATTTATAACATCCTCATGTTTTTTGCCTAGGTCATCTAGGCGGTAGACGGTATCGTATTACCCTCGCCCGTACCTGTCCCGTACCGTACCGTACCGTACCATCAAGGACGGCAGGCCACAATATTCAAATAGGGCTTTGAAATGCAAGATCATAACGTGAAGCAACTTGGTAGAATTTGTTTGTGTGCTGAATCGCCCGTTCACGCTTATTTTGGAGACGACAGGATCTCTCTTCCAAAGTATGTTTTTGCTGACGCATCCTATCACCTATTCGGCAACTAACGTCCATTCTAATTTCATTTCCTTTTCGTCTCCCTACTTCTTTCCAAATCTCCCTCTACATCAGGGAGTTGTATACATAATACGACGAATATTGTGGCCAGCTGTTTGTGGCCAGCTGTGTTTGATGGTACGGTACGGGACAGATACGGAAGCCAGCAAATATTGTGGCCAGCTGTTATGTACAATCCTGTAGAGCCTACAAAGGCAAACAAATAAACACCAAATTAAAGCTGTGTGGACCCTGTCTAGCGCCAGACGTTACTGAAGTAACGTCTTCTGCATAGCTACGGGAATAAAGCTGTGTGGACCCTGGCTAGCGCCAGACGTTACTAAAGTAACGTTATGGTGTTCTGCGTCAACCATGACGGCTAAAATGGCCAACCAGACCACAACGAAGCTGGGGCCAAAGAGAAAGTTTTTTCCTTTCAGGCGAAAATATAAAAAGAGGGGCCATTTTTACGAAAAATGATTTATATATACATGTATATAAATGCATGTACGAGGTCACTACATTACACCTCCACCAGAGATGAAGCCGAGAGCAGTTGCTGAAGAACGCCAAACGGAAAAAGATCTTGGAAAGGAAAGGAAAGAGTGAGCCAAGCGTACAAAGCGGAAAGCGGAAAGACGGGAAAGAAAAATACACTGTACAAAGAGAAAAAATATGCGCTGCATGTGGAATACAGTTGTATGACACGTGTACACGAGGTCCGAAACAAGGTAGAAAAATGCAGGAAAGGGAAAGAGGAAACATGCGTGACAGAGGTGGAAGAATGTGTCAGAGGCAGTCTAGAGAAAGAAAGTAGAGAAAAGAACAAGGGAAACGTACGCGTGACAGAGGATGACGGATCTTGATCTCGTCAGAGGCGGCTGCGGGCTAGGAGATCGTGGCGGTTGATCGGCGGATCGGTGGATCAGCGGACCGGTGGATGGTGGGCTGGTGAGGTCGTACAGCAACTCCGACTCAACTCCGATCATACAGCAACTCCGACTCAGCGCAGTGTCAGGGTCACCAATTATGGTGTTTTACGTCAACCATGACGGCTACAATGGCCAACCAGACCACAACGCAGTTGGGGCGAAAGAGAAAGTTTATTCCTTTCACGCGAAAATATATACAGAGGTCATTTTTACGAAAAATGATTTATATAATAATTATATAGAAATGCATGTCCGAGGTCACTACAAAGTCTTCTCCGTAGCTACGGGAATAAAATAAATATATTTCACGGTTCGCGTAAGACTCGGCTTTTCCGCATCCGCCGTGTGAACGCCACCACCCTCTAGGATCAAAGGCGAAGATGCAGCGCCTAAACGGTGGGTGGTGAGTAGATCAGACCCACCACCAAGTGGTCAAAGACCGAAATAACAGTAATAATAATGCTGGTGTAATGGCTGCTGTTCTTACCTCCATCATTTCGAGTGGAGAATGAATATAATTATATATTTTTTATAAACAACCGATGTGATTTCTGCTTTACCCAAACGACTGTGACATCGGACGTGTCAGAACGAGCCCCATGGCATTCAAGGCATTCAGTCGAAGCATGTTAGCGACCAAAGTGCGAGGCTACATGTCTACCCAAAAGCCTTGAGAAATCAAAGATTCTTCCATCAAAATCTATGGGTCACCATACTAGACTTTGCTGTTCCCCCTAAAAACATACAAAGTCTTGCCGTGTTCGTATTCAGTTACCAAGGGCGGTGACGTTCCTACGGATGCGGAAAACTCGGTCTCTAGCCGAGTCTGACGCGAACCGTGAAATTGCCATGGTGCCAATTAAGAATCCGAACGCAGCCTGGATCCCTTATGGTGTCGCACCATCATGATACGTAGATCTACACGTTCACCACAGGACGTCTAGAGATGGCTGCGGCATTCACATTAATACAAACGTCTTCTATGAATTTTTGACTAACAAGAACCAATCGGTAGACGTATTCATCGGCATGCAGCCCTGGGCTAGATGCACTTCGCTGATGGGCTTCACCTCCGGAATTTGTTGTGCCGCTTCTGGATGTTTTGCTGCCGCTTCTGGCAGCTATGTTGGCGCTTCTGGCGGTTCTATTGCTGCTTCCGCTTCCGCTGGTGGTTAACTTGTCGCTCGGCCTCTCGCCGTTGCTCCACCAGCGGTTGCCTCCCGACCTGGCGACGTTCGGCCTCTTCTAGCCGTTGCTGCTGCACCCGTTGCCTCTCCCTCATACGACGTTCGGCCTCTTGTTCGTGCTCTTGCATCCGTCGCCTATCGTCCTCGCGACGCTCGGCATCTACTTCTTGCTGCCGTAACCATTGCCTCTCCACCTCACGACGTCCTTCTTCATTTTCTAAAAGAGAGAAAAAAGGAGACAATGGATGATGAAATTAACAATCTTCCGTGATGTGCAATAAAATATGAAAATATCAGAGCGTTGTGGTAGTGCGGTGTATTAAATATCAGATCACAACTTCATCCACCCCTGCTTTCAGTTCACGCTTTTTTTTCCACGCTGACCTGTACTTGAGACGTATATTTCATGTACATGTAACGTAGCGCATACTGTAAAAAGAGAAATTTTCGCTACAGATTATATTTCGCTATTTTCGCGGCCATCACACATTCGCGAATATAACCCGTCGCACACTGCTCTGTACTTTGACTGTACACAGTACAAAATCCGACTGAAGAGATAAATTCGCTAAATTGTCTTGTCAGGAATGAGCACAATTCTTGAAAACGTTTTCCGGCTACTCTCATTGGTTATCATTACCATACGTTCTGAAAACTTGTTCTTCTATTGGTCAGTTTAAAGATCTACTATCACAACTGAACTAGACGCAATAATTATCATCGAAGAACATTCTCGAATACCTGGGTGATGCACGAGTTTTGATAGTGCTCACTTCCATTAATCGTTTTTCTTTGTAATTTTCCATTCATTTTCTGCTCTAATTCATATTTGCTTTGATTTCCAAGCTTACTATTGCCGTGGCTGGCTCAACGCCCTTGTCTCAGGGGATTCTGTCCCTGCATTAGCTATGCTTGTCACATGCTATGAGATTGTGTCTAATAATAATAATAATAAAACGCGAACTTTGCGCGCCGCAAAAATGTATCACTTTACAGTAGTGCAAGCTGTGAGGGTGCTCAGCTGAAGAAGTTTCCGAAGCAAAAAAGTCGAAAATATTCGATGAGTTTCTAAGCTTCGTCTTTGACCAAGTTTGGGCCCTTCGCTTCATGCTTTTGTTTGGTCCGTGTGACTAAAAAACATTTCGAACGTGGGTCAACTGCAGGTGGTTTACGTGTATCACCCACGTTCCCGTATCCGTTACGTGGGACTAAACCTCCCGTGGGCGCGAACGCGAAACTGTAGCCATGGGTGGGAGGAGTGGGGGTGGGGGTGGACTAGGCTGCATGTGACATGGCCATTATGTAAGGGTTCAAGCACTGGGAGCTACCCACAGTCAACTGGGAACTTGTGGCCAGGCACAAGGGGTACATGGATGCAGCTAATGGGGTCGTTTTCGGCACTTGTGCTAGTGGTTGTGAGACTTATCCACTCACCCCCACCGTTAGGCGCTGCATCTGCCGCTAGGGTTTATCGGGTGTTAGCGGCCGTCGTGAGTTCCCTTCGGGAACGGACACGATAATTTACTTACTTTTTTACTGGGAGCCATGTGACAATACTGTGACCTTCTAAACACTGCCACGCTAAATGCCATCGGAAGCCATAAGATGTTGAATAAAATTAATGAATAAAATCGCAATTTCTTGCAGTGCAGGGAGACTAAACGGTCCAGACCAAGAATAGTGAACAGGGGACTTGATGGGCAACAGAAACCTTAGTAATACGTATATACCACAAAAGCTCGCTTTGGCATTCCCTGAAGCCTACCTAACTGGGCCCAAGAAAGGCCCGCAAAAAAGCAATTTGATGCATGCAAAATCTGGCAGAACTGAACACTTCAAAAAGGATTTCCCCACCCCCCGTCAATGGAGAATCCATTGATCACATTACACCCCATTGTCGTTACGGTTAATTTCTACTTCGCCGATTCTTGTTGCAATGTTTTAGTCTTCTTCTTCCGCGCCGCCTTTCAACATGTATGTTACTCGCACTGAGAGAAACGTCCCTGAAACACGATTGCCGTGCACATGTGTTCTATTGCAAAGACATTTCTATCAGTTCGGACAGCACAGATTATGACCTAGGTATTAAAAATAATAATAAAAAGCATAGTAAGGACTCCTGGGCATTCAAGCTCTTTCGTTCCTATGTTTTTAAGTTAGCCCTTCAACTGCCACAACATCGACATTGATCAGTCGAAAGGCCTACTCCCATTAGAAGATTCTCAGCTATCGGCTCGTACAATACCTAAGAAAACAACTTTAGCTCATGAACGCACCTGAATTACATAGCTCAAAACTCTTGCTGCGTCACGTTATGACGCTCGGCCAAAGGCCCAGTTTTCCGCATCCGCAGGAACGCCACCACCTTCTTGGATCAAACTACAAGTGACGCTATAATGTCCACTAACACCACCAGTTACTAAACAATCAGCTCATGCGAAAACATTGAAAGGCACTGACCGACTGTGCTGACGTTCTACAACTCATTGGCTAACAATTGCCAGAGATGGTGCCAGCGTCGTAACGATAAAGAGGGTTCACGTACCTGCGTTGCAGAGTTTGATATTGTAGACGTCGTTCTTGAGTTTGTTGAACGCATCCTCGTGGTCTTCTGGTTCATCGGCCATCTTCTCGGGTTGAAAGCAATCAAACCCTCTGGGTGATAGTTTTGTGTGCGTGTGCTAGGTATGCACGTTATCCGTTAATTGCTTAGCACGAAAAAAATACCCAGCAGAATGCTGCGATGACAGAACACGCAATAGTTTATATCAATACTATGTTAAATTTGCGCAAACGTTAAACGCGCTGCCAGTTGACCATGAGATTGTATACGTCAGCAGGGATAACACATTGGTGCGTACCAATCGTACGCACACAAACAATATCACTCTCCATGACTCGGTCCACCCTACAAAATTAATCATACCCTCGTCCGGAGCCATTGAATACACCGTCCCATTCAAAGTTGAGGTGAAGAACTCTCATGTGAATGAACTGTCTTTGATCTTTGATGCTCGCTCTACGACCAGACTCAGTGGTCTCTATGTTCAAGACCTGCACGTGATTCGAAAACGTGTCGCTGTTCTGCATCTCTGTGCTCTCCACAGCAAGGCGACTAGAGTGTGAATTGTCGAATGTGAGAGATATGGATTGCGAAGACTTTGGATACGGCTAATGCTGTTCTTACTGCTAATATGATGGCCTTCATTTCTACGAGTGGAGGGTGATTCGAAAAGAACTCGAAAAGCACTATAAATGTTTTTTGTAGTCCCTATGTTCTCTTCTTGTTGTTGTTTTTGTTGTTGTTCTCTTCCGTTCTATGTAGGCATGTGCACGTTCATAAAACGAACAGAATCTTTCCAACGAGAGAGCTTGGAAGCTCAGGGCCCTACGCTATGCTTTTTTGCCGTGATGACCTAGACAAAAAAAAAGAATAGGGATTTTATAAATTTTTTTTTAAATTCCTTTTTTTAACATAACCTGTGATTCGAACCCGCACTATCGCGCGCCCTGCATGCATCCCCCGATACATTTCGCATACATACTAATTCTTCCAAGTTGCTTCACATTATGATCTTGTACTTGAAAGCCCTATTTGAATATGCATTGTGGCCAGCCGTCTTTGATGGCACGGTACGGTAGGGGATAGGTACGGGACAGGTACGATCGAGGGTAATACGACACCGTCTCCCGTACCGTACGTACCATCAAACACAGCTGGCCACATACAGCTGCCCGCAATGATCAAATAAGGCTTTCAAACGCAAGATCATAACGTAAAGCAACTTGGAAGAATGGGTATGAATGCGAAGTGTATGGAGGAATGCATGTAGGGCGATAGTGGCCAGCCGTCTTTGATGGTACGGTACGGTAGGGGATAGGTACGGGACAGGTACGATCGAGGGTAATACGACACCGTCTCCCGTACCGTACCGTACCATCAAACACAGCTGGCCACATACAGCTGCCCGCAATGATCAAATAAGGCTTTCAAACGCAAGATCATAACGTAAAGCAACTTGGAAGAATGGGTATGAATGCGAAGTGTATGGAGGAATGCATGTAGGGCGATAGTGCGGGTTCCAATCCCAGGATATCCCTGAAAAAAATAGGAGAATTGAAAAATTTATAACATCCCTATGCTTTTTTTGCGGTCCGATACGGGATAGCGCCAGGCGTGACACAAACAGACAAACAAACACACAAACAAACAAATACCAAACGAGAGAGCTTTGAAGCTCAGGGCCCTACGCTATGTTTTTAATGTAAAAGGGCCAGAAAATCCGATTAAAAGGAGATAAAAAGGAAAAGAAGGAGCAAACCAAAAGCGGATGAAGTGAGAGAAAGATAACAATTCGCAAAAAAATCTGCAAATACTTTTGCCTAACTCATATTCAAACTGATTGAAACGTTTTTGCAATACAATGATGTAGCCAATTAACGGAAAAAAAACATTTCCATCAGTTCTAGTAACATGTACGATGAGCTAGGTAAAAAATGTCCTGATGTCTGTCCTGACGTTTTCTGTGACCGGCGCTGACTCTGCCCATCACGGGCGTTCTGGCCTCGACGGGATCTCTCTTCCGACGTTTCCTGTGACCGGCGCTAAATCGCCCGTTCACGCTTATTTTGAAGTCGACGAGATGTCTGTCCTGACGTTTCCTGTGACCGGCGCTGACTCTGCCGATCACGGGCGTTCTGGACTCGACGGTATCTCTCTTCCGACGTTTCCTGTGACCGGCGCTGAATCGCCCGTTCACGCTTATTTGGGAGTCGATTCTGCGTCTGTCCTGACGTTTCCTGGGACCGGCGCTGACTCTGCCGATCACGGGCGTTCTGGAGTCGACAGGATCTCTCTTCCGACGTTTCCTGTGACCGGCGCTGAATCGCCCGTTCACGCTTACTTTGGAGACGACGGGATCTCTCTTCCAAAGTATCTCTCTTCTAAAGTCTGTTTTTGCTGATTCATCCTATCACCTATTCCACAACTAGCGTCCATTCTTATTTTATTTCCTCCTCGTCTCCCTATTAATTTTCTTTCCAAATCTCCCTCTATATCAGGGAGTCGTATACATAATACGACGAATATTGTGGCCAGCTGTTTGTGGCCAGCTGTTATGTATAATCCTGTAGAACCTTTGTAGTCACAGAAACGGGACAGATACGGTAGCTCCAGGCGTGACACAAGCACACAAACAAACAAACACCAAATCACAGATATTTTTTTATTGGACAGATACGGTAGCTCCAGGCGTGACACAAACACACACACAAACAAACAAACACCAAATCACAGATACGGGACAGATACGGTAGCTCCAGGCGTGACACAAACACACAAACACACAAACACACAAACACCAAATTAAAGCTGTGTGGACCCTGGCTAGCGCCAGACGTTACTGAAGTAACGTCTTCTGCATAGCTACGGGAATAATAATTATTATTCCCGTAGCTATGCAGAAGACGTTACTTCAGTAACGTCTGGCGCTAGCCAGGGTCCACACAGCTTTAATTTGGTGTTTGTTTTTGTGTTTGTTTGTGTCACGCCTGGCGCTATCCATATCTGACGGCAAAAAAGCATAGGATGTTATAAATTTTTCAATTCTCCTTTTTTTCAGGCATATCCTGGGATTCGAACCCGCACTATCGCCCTACATGCATTCCCCCATACACTTCGCATTCATACCCATTCTTCCAAGTTGCTTTACGTTATTATCTTGCGTTTGAAAGCCCTATTTGAATATTGCGGGCAGCTGTATGTGGCCAGCTGTGTTTGATGGTACGGTACGGGAGACGGTGTCGTATTACCCTCGATCGTACCTGTCCCGTACCTATCCCCTACCGTACCGTGCCATCAAAGACGGCTGGCCACAATGCATATTCAAATAGGGCTTTCAAATGCAAGTTCACAATGTGAAACAACTTGGAAGAATTAGTATGTATGCGAAGTGTATCGGGGGATGCATGCAGGACGCGCGATAGTGCGGGTTCGAATCCCAGGTTGTGTCTTAAAAAAAAGGAATTTTTTAAAGAATTTATAACATCCCTATGCTTTTTTTTTGTCTAGGTCATCAAGGCAAAAAAGCATAGCGTAGGGCCCTGAGCTTCCAAGCTCTCTCGTTAGTTTCGTGTCGAATCCTACCTCGAAAATTAAAACTCAGCAAAGATGAAGTAGAATTCGTGGCACGCTACAATATGCTCGACTGACTGGTTAATATATATCGAACTCCATTTTACCGTAGTGCGAACAGCACTTTCGGCCATCTTGAATTGCAATAGCTGGCACGTTGAAGAATTTCATGCGAGCACGGGTATGTTGCCGAGAATATACGTTAATGTCTTCACTTACTATAGAACGCACTTGATCTACTGCAATACAAAACCACTGAAAGCCATTTAGAACAAACTTCATTTATTTCCTCTTAAACCTTTATACTCGCTCTCTTGTTTTAATCAATAACAAAACAGTGATCGTCATTGCCGTGATTCTGTTTAACCGTTAGATCACAATACCATAATATACAATCGCTCTTTTCCAATTTAAAGAGTCGGCGTGGAGAAAGCAATTTTATTAGTGCAATTAGGAGTATAATCGATGCAGACATGGCCAGACAACAACGAGTTCATGGCATTTTTAAGGATTTTTATGTTATTCAAAATCGATTTTCGTGTTCCGCTCATCAGTGAATAGTATCGGAACTGAGGGTACTGTGTACAAAAATAGAACATTTTATAACAGCATAATTAAAAGTGTGAACAAAAAAGGAAGTGCTACAGCATTACAGAATAGGTGTCAAACATAGTGCTAACATATTATAACTGAGTGCAGGCACAAAGCATGAGGTGATACAGTGCAACATGACACAATATTTACATCTGATAACCAGCTACGAGAACAACTTTAGCGCGACTACATGCTTCTTTTGTATACAAAGAACAGGATTATGCACACGAATACATACAGCTTCCAGAACCTTCAACTGCTTAACATAACTTGCACGGCACAAAACAGAAAAGTGAGAATCATCGTACACACTAAGACAATCTGGACGTGATAACAAGTGACAAAATACAGCTGACTTTTTGCTCACGTCGCTCTCTTCCGTCTCATCCCGCTCCTTTCCTTCAACCTCCTCCGCCTTATCCTCGTCCTCCGTCTCATCTTCATCATCATCGTCCCCATCACCACCATCATCATCATCAGTCACTTCCTCATCATCCGTTTGATGCTAAATCTCATCGCACTCCTTATCACCCTCCAACATGGCTCCATCATCTCCACCAGCATCACAAGTCGTTTGACCGCTGCTCCGCGTCACCGTTGCTGGGTTCTCTGCTACTGCCCACCCATTTCCAATGTCCATTTTGCGTGGGCCAAGTCCATTCCGTGCATAAATTTCAAGTGAATAGTTTGCTGTGCTTCTTCTGGGTCTATGGGTAAGGATTTTGGTTTCATTTTGGTTTGTCGATGATCTCCCTCTCTGTCCAGACACAGTCGGCACCGTGGATCCCAGCACCGGGGGGACCACCGTCTCGGTAGTCACCAAAGGTAAAGGGGGTGGCTCAGGCGGAGGCAAGGGCAACTGCCGAGGTGAGGGTTCAGTGTCTCTCGGTGGCCCCTCCTCCATTCCAGGCCGATGATGTTGTGCTAGAGTAGGCTCCGCTGCCGTTCGCAGTGGGTCGAGAAGTGGTGGCCAGGTCACTGATGGCAAACCCACCCCAGCCCCAGCCACC